CTTCGGTCTTCGATGGGAAAACTCTCGCTCCTTACATCCAATAGCCCTTCAGCGGCAAGTAGGGAGACGGCAAATTACCTCAATTAGCCGTCAGGATCATCGAGAGGCTTTCTGACTGACTGAGTCTATTCGGGGGCTTCGGTGATCAGGGTGCTCAATATCAGTCGAGACATCCTGAGGAAACATCACTACGACGGCTCTCACTCAGTGGACTAGTACAATTCAGTAGGGCAGCCCTCCGATGGAGAGCCCCGCACGCAACAACGCGTTACGGTTCAGCTTTCTCCTGCGTATGCATCGCTTCGTGTTTTATTGGAGAGTGTTTTATGTTACAGAAAGATAAAACTCTCAAATTCCCACAAGATCGTGAACGTGCATCAGAAGCGATGCCGCTCACGGGTTTCTGTTATTTCGATCCGATAAAATTTGTCGAAAGCATCGATCGAAGAGTTGTTTGACCTCCTACGATGTCACCGCTCAGCAGATTTTCGATCCGAATAGCGGCCTTTCAATGCGGTTCCTCCGAACGGTTCAGCTCTCAACAAAGCTCCCTTCATCCGATTCCTCCGAAATTGATCGCTCTCATTCATACGATTCCGGGGTCGCGGTCTGGATCCTTCTCTCCGGAGATGTGCGTACCACCGAAAGACTCTGAAAGTTCGACTCGCTCATTCGAATCCTGGAGATCATCGTACGAGTAGAATCTTGCGTCCCTCGAGAACGTCGTATCGACATGACCTGCCGTCATCTGCCAAGGGTCTGGGTAATTCCAGTTCGGTTGGGAACTGTCCGATGGGCCAGAAAGCGGGGCAAGGGGGGGGGGAGCGGAATACTCGCTGCCCAAGGCAAGTACCTCGAAGGCTCCCGAACCATTATTGTTGCCGACAATCGTCCGAGAAGTCACTTACTTTCTCATTGAGCGCGTTTCCCCTTTGACCTTTCCCGAGAGCAAACGAGACGCCTCGGGGATCTGCTTCGGCTCCCCTAATTTGAATCGAAGTTGACGTGAACGTGACCAGACTCCCGTATATCCGAAGACGACTTTAATGAGAGACTTCACGAGGAGGCGACGTGTATCCCGCTAAGTCCCAGAGCGAGCGACAGAAAGCGGAGAAATGGAAACATTCGAGTCGAGTACGGAACCAGCAGCGTTTTTTTGGGCTGCCGCTCGGCGCTCCACTTCGGGAATAGTGGCGACGAAGGGGGCGCGAAGCTGCGAGAGCGTCCCGACCTCGGGAGGAAGCGCCGCAAGAAGGTCAGCAGGTTTTTCTTTTCGGCAGCTGCGGGGACCTGCGAGGCGCTTCGCTGTAATTTTATTTATTCGACCCTCGAGGCTCGAAGAAGAAACAAAGGGGCCGGAGGGAAGTTTCCTTATTCCTCTTTCTTCCTAATTTGAAATTCGCATTGGTCATTTCGAGCGCCGAGAACAATGGTGGCTTTCCTTTCGGAGGTGCCAAGTCCCGAGTATAAACCTCTTCAATGTCAAGCCCGGTCTGACTCAGTCAGTTGTCACCGGCTCCCGGCTTAGATGGCGCGGGAAGCTGCGACAGCGAATGAAAATTCACACGAAGATGCAGTTACTATCCTCCGTGGGCGAGGGGAACACATATCAGTATTTTCTTCACAATTTTTGCCTCGCGGAAAGGGCAGGGATCAGCTGCTTATTTTCCAGACAGATTTAATGTCCGATGGAAATCTCTCCATAGAACTCGGTGGTGTGCCACAGCGACCACCCTCTGGGGGATCAGAGTATACTTGGGAATTCCCGAAGGTCTTGCGGAGCGCCGTAATCGCCTTGATTTCATGGGTTGTTTTCCTCTTGATGACTCGGCCGTCTCGGTTCCCTCACGATTCGCTCGTCGAGTTATTCGGTCGGCTTTATTGGATCTGCAGTCTGGTCGGATGGTTTGTCAGGCGGACTTGTGGAAGGCGGGGTATTCGCCAGCGGTGATGCCGCCCGACTCGGTCGGTGGCGTCGTCGTCCGGCTGGTTATCGATAGTTGCCACCAGCGAAATGGCAACATATCCATAGTCATCTGATGGATCATCAAATAAGCCAAAGCCGGAGATATTCGGTCTTCTGCTCTGACCGCAGCCTCGACTTCTCGCTCGTCTCATTCAGGCGAGTTCGATTTGGCTTCCGCGAGGCCTTCTCATTCCATCTCCGTACTGTTTTCACTCGACGGACGATCTGTTCGTGCTGGATGTTCGGGGACCGACGTCTTCAAACCGCAAGGTTCTCGGTCATCCCGCAGCTCGACCGCGGTAGTATTTCAGCGATTAAATAAGCATCTCGAGGTGCGGCTCGAATCTTGCAGAGGAGAGCGAAATATTCGACGAAGTTAGCACGATCCCAATCCCAATAGTATTGACAGAAGTTCGGAATCCCCGAGCTAAGGCCGCAAGAGTCGATTAGTATCTCTCGAGATCTCCGGCCCGGATGGTGACGTTGTCGTGTCGGTCGTCAATTCTCTTATCGGAGTGCCGTCCCGCCCGTAGTGAAATTTTACGAGTTTGTCTGTTCCACAAGTCACCTTCAGCCACCTAACCAGTCCATCAATCAGCGAGTTGTGAGCTCCTCGTCGAATGTCTTGCGGTTTGATCCCCGAGTCCCTTGGTTGCTGGGAAATTTTCATTGTTCGACGGAGATGAAGAACTGGCCATCTCCAACTCAGCATAAATTACCGAATACGGGGATCACGGAGTAACACGGATTGGGTTTTCGTCGAGATCACTGTCAACCGAGATCTGCTGCATGGTTCGTATCCACGAACGGTAGCTCAAGCTGTCGCGCAAAAAAACGAGGTAGAAAAATCTCGTCTTTGTTCCTGCTGCTCTTGTTCGTGCGGTTTCTCCAGCGTGCGTGGAGCCGCTCAAAAGGAAAAAAGAAGACTGACTCTGCCGACCGGGGTGCTGCGACATTTCTGTGTTTTCGTCACTGAGCCAAAATCTTTTATGGATACGAGTTTGGCGCAGAGTCAGCGCCGCGACCAGCGGATAAGCGGTGAAAAACGCGCTGTATCAAGAAGTGGCTGTTCGTCTCGTCTTCGGTCCGCTTTCGGGCGGGATGTTTCAGCCGTTTCCTAGCTGCCCTCAGTCCACTTTCGTCCAACTTCCCCTCCAAGCGGGAAATGGTGAAATCGACGCGACGCCTAATTACCGCCGACGAGACGCCGCTTTTCTCAGCGGTCATTTCCTCGAATGGCGGTGGTGGGCGACCCAATCGATGCGTTGCAAAAAAATAAACCGAGACGACCGCCGATCGAAGCCTCTCGGCTTTCAGGCAAGTGTTTCGGCCCGACTAGATCGGTTTAGCAAAATCTTCAATCTGTCCCCTTTGCTCACGATCCACAATTTGCGGCGGGAGTCCCTGAAATTGCTGTGGGCCAAACACCTTCGGCTCGTACGTTGGGAGCTCGAGGCGTTCGCCGCGTCGGGAATCGGAAAATTACGGGCGAGAACTCCGACCCGTGCGAATGCTCAGAGAAGCTTCAAGCCGAAAATGAGCGCCCACCTACACGAGCAGAGCGCTGAGTGACTGGGCGAGCATAAATTTGCATTGCTTACTTTAGTGGCCTTCTTATGCATTTTGTGAGGTTTCTTCCTCGTCCTTCCACCCTCAGCTCCAACCGCGCATCGTTCCGAATGTTATTGCGAGTCCGCGAGTCGAATCGTTCATTGCACTCCGCCGTCACTCGGAGCGAATCTCCTTGAGCTAACAGGACGGCAAGGTTTGACGTCACAGCGAGCGTTTAACTGCAGTTTCGCGTTTGTACCGACCGTCTCCCAAACGACGGCTCAGGAAGCGAACGCGTACTCGGCTCTGCAGCGCCTCGCGCATTTGCACACCAAAGGAATCGAAACAGCAATATCTCGAAGCTAGGCTCTCGGAGCCAAGCGCTGGAATGGTCGGGTGCATATCATTACTGGATGTTCAGTGAACACGGAGAAACGCAGCATGAACAGAAGCATTATCGTCATATATATTGCCATCATCGATTGTCTTAGGAGACATCCAGTATTATATGTATGTCTGTCCATTGCCATCGAGAGCCGGGCGCTTGAGCCGGCCAAGATTTCCCCAAGCCCGAGATCCCGCTGAGCCCACGCCGCTGTGCTCTCTGTAGGAGGATTCGTTGAGGTTGGTCCCTTGGATCCTTAGATTCTTCATTTTCGTTCTTTGGTCCTAGCGGGAACAAGAGCGAGGCGGGATTCTTGGGATTTCTCAGGGGAACATCAGACGTCATCGAATGGCATTGACCCGGAAACCTCGCATGGGAACTCTCGCATGATGAATATGCATTCCCATGGAGGGCCCGTGCGGTTCAACTCCTCCTCCGGGACCGATGTTTGGGAGGAGCACGTCATGTGTTGAACCGCAAAGATCCTGAAATTCAAAATCAAAGCAGCGGGACAAGGGCGAAAGACAATGCGGAAATGCCCACGCGGCGGATCTTGATTTCGACGAAGGCTTTTGACTCCAATGTCAAGGGAAATTTCCTCGGGACGGGCGCAGGTACCGCGGGAGATGAGTTTCTCCGTAGATCGTCTGTTGATGGAGTGTCCCATGTTGATCCTGAGGAGCCATGACCAAATAGAGGAATCATCCTTATCGGCGCGATTGGCCACGCCATAATTCCACAGCACTCTGAGCTCTATCAGAACGCTCGTATACAGAAGAATTTGCGTAGATCAAACACGCTGGGGAACGACGTACGCCTATTGGGCCTCGTTTATTGCCCATTCCTATTTGTCTTCATTGATCAAATTGCCGTGAGAAAATCTATCGGAGTGAATCAGATAAAACGTTTCTTTAGTTGATTCTCGTTGGCCAGAGCGCTTGAGATCGCTCGCTGGCTATGCTGCGATGATAAATTACGGCAGGAGTTGATCTCAATCGCTACTGTTGTGGGTTTCCCGGAGACTTTTTCTCGTCTCGACCCTCTTCCGAGCCTGTTCTAATCGATGGCGAAACTGACGGGATCCCTCTGATATTTCAGGAGACGCTCACGTGATCCTGCAGAGCCGCAAACGGTCCGTAGGAGCAACGAGACTGCACCAGGGAGGCGCTCTTGGATATATGGAAGTGGTTGCGATCAAAGGTGAAAAAGGAGAGCCTGGACCTGTAGGACCCCCCGGGAAGGGCGGCGAAGACGGCAGACCCGGCGCCGTGGGATTGCCTGGCAATTCTGGACCGCCAGGACCGAAAGGTAAGGTCAAACAGCTTCGTTTCCGTTGCGGGTACCATACTAAGGGGAGGGGGGTAGATTCACCTTAAAGATGGAAAAAAAATCGGTATTCAGATTTTTCCGCATTCACTCAGTCAGAGGAAGCGTTCCTTCCCTTCATTTGCCTCAATTCCGTACGAGCCACGGTTGGAGAATCGTGAGGTTTCGCACTGCCTCGCACCTGAACAAACAGAGCAACTCCCCGAACGTGCAATTGCCTGGTCGCTTCATTTCTTCACACGAGACGCTCGACGCTGAAGGCCAACGGTGCGTTTGCGCAAACTCCATGACTCCCTCTGGTCGGCAGGGTCAAATTGTATGATACCAGTCAAAAGTTTCCGCTACGAGCGGGCAAACGAGCCAGCGTGCCACCCACACCGCACAGCGGGATCTTGGGCTTAGCAAATAAATGCGTGCGTCGTTCAGCGTCGGAACCGAATTCTGTTAGAGGTGCGTCAGCGGCACGGAGAAGCGTCGGCGATGCCAGCGAGCGAAACGGCGAAGCAATCAGAGTAATTCGATGTCTCGACTCACTCAGCGGATCGGTCAAGCGATCGGTCAAGCACTCGAAGTCCGGGTGACGAGCGGGACATTTAATGATCGCCTTACACCGGATCGTAGCGTCGCCGAGACATTTTCTGACCCTTCGCTCGGCGAAAACATCGAATCCCTGACCAACGCACTGAGGAAGAAGAGCTCTGCTAGTCCGTACATCCGGTAGTAAGTCGGACACTTATCTACGTTTATCAAAGAGAGCACGCGAGCGCCGTTAGAGACCAGCCCGGGTCGAGCGTGTCGGCCGAGCACCTGATTACAGCTTGGCGTGGCTGCGCGTGACGATGCCCCGGATCGGTGTTAAGGGCATTGTCAGCTCCCGTAATCTTCTTCGTGATCTCTCCGCTGCGGTCATTGTAACGTGACTAGCGAGAAGTAATCGTCTTAGCTGGATGCCGCCGCTTTCCGTTGCGTCCGTTCAACGTCAAATGTTGTTAGAGAATTCGAGTTCTTCGCTTTCCGAGCGAAGATTAGGAACTTCGACTCCTTACCTGGGTTCCCGAACTATGACCATTGTTCTCGCGGTTCTAAATCGGCATGGGAGAGATTCAAAAAGTCACCTCAGCTCAAGGGTGGGAGTCTGCCTGTCCGGGAAGGAGGAAAAACCAGGACCCGGAGTTTGGAACCGGTGTCCGAGCGTCGTGGGAGCCATGTTCCTCCAGGAGAGGTTATCACGGCCGTTGAGAGTGAAGCTGAGCGGCGAGGCTGGTCCGCATTTGTCGGCCTCGTAGAGCGACATGTCGGCCTCCGTAATCCGGACTCCTCTCGTACGGTGTTAGCAGTGTTGGTAGACAACGGGGTCGTCGCTATATGTAGTTGGAATGACGGGATGAGTTCTTTCCTCGCTGTCTCATCGTTCCGACGAGTACATGATCATCCTCTCCGTCTTCTGAATCTCTGCGATACGAGAATAGGTTTAGCTCGGCTCTCCCTCCGCAGGGGGAAGGACCGACCGGAATTATTCCCCTGACTGAGTGAGATCTCCTCATGCGGGGGATGGATTCCAGTGCAGCGCAGTCGACCAGATGTTTTCCCGCTGTTCATCTGCGACTTTTTGATATCGATAATAATTAGCCGAGACATTTTTTGTTGGTCTCCCACTATTCGAACGTTCGAAATCGGGGCTCATACGGCGAAGGCTATTCCTTCTCACACGTAATTCGATCTTGCCCGGCGGAATCAATAGGCGATCGGGAGGCAAAAACAAAAAACTGCGCTCCTCGTTGCTTGGACGTAAATCCGATAATTCCAAAAGTCGTGACTCGGGACGTGATGAGCTCTGTCGTAGCGTAATGGGCCGCGGAACGAGGCAAACAGCAGTGTAGCATATTATTCTGGCCAGCATGATTTCGAGATGATATAATTATTCTGTCGATCGCTGCCTTCGAAGCTCGATGCTTACGACTGACGGCGAGTCGAATTTTCCTGATTGGGTGCTTGGTCGCGAAAGCGGGGAATTCTTCCAAATCACTGCTCTGTCTGTATCCGATTGAGAAATCGAAGAATTCCAGACGTCTCGTAGCGGTGGAGTCCGGGAATATTTCAGAACATGAAAAATAAGTCAGAACCAATTTTCGAGCGACATTCGCTCTCTTTCCCCCGCTGTCGTCCTGTTCTCGAGGGGATCAATGGATCTGAAATTCGAACTCCGGATCCGTAAGTCCCGTGGACTCTTACGAACGTGCCCAGTTTTCTTAGCACCCAGGATCCCACAGAGGTTACGCAGGCCCGACAACGATCTTGAGTAAAAATTCACGGCGATTGCGGGCTTGAGAAGCGCATCATCCATCAATCCCCCCCCATCTGTTTCCGACTCGCTTCCAGGTCGGTTTTGCTGCAAACTGTCTTCGTCTTATCGAGCAATGTTTGCGGTTATTGATGATGTGTCCAACAACTCCAAGAATCCTTACACAGATCAGTCCCATTCGTGGTCGACGGCGACGGACATTGGAATCGATGCTTAATGGAACTCGCGGCTAATCGTCTTCGGGTTGCTCGAGAATTGGAAAACATTCCACATCGCCGGAATTATTGAACTATGCAAATTACATACTTTGCCGCAGCAAAAAGAAGGAGAGATAGCACCAACACCACAACCAGCATCGACACCACGCCCATAAACAGCTATGAAACGTTGAAAACGAGCTCGGCCAAGAATCGATGGGATTGGAGGAAAAGTCCGACGCTCGGTTGGCCATAAATTATTTGGATGAATTTCGTTTCGAGCCACCGCGACGTCTCCCGCGAAGAGAACGTTCCAAACAGTCGTTTGTGAGCTCGAGTCTCGGGACCGAGAAGAACAATTCTTTAAGATGCCAGCAACTCGGGCCTTTCATCGGTCCGTGGTCCCGCGTCGACATTGATTCTTCCAAAAGCGCATTTCGTGGAGAAGATATTTATTCCCCGCGGAAGAACCGATGGTCCTAGATGGGCCCGGATCGGGCTCTGGCAGCTTCGTCGGGGATTCCAATCCGAGGAATACCAATTATGTTCCACAGGTATTCTGTCACCGACATCTTCGAACAGGGGGATTTTCAATTTTCGTCAGCGCTCCTTAGCGAGCTTGGGGTTCGATTCGGCCTCTTTGTCGCTTGCTCGGCCTCTTCGTTTTTCCCTATGGGGTTAGAGGCGTCTTCAGAAGCTCTCGATTTCTGCTGGGGAACATCTCTAGATCGCTCTTGCTCAATTGCGATGTCTCTCATTGATATTGTTGTCGCTGCTGTCGGTGCCGATTCGCGGGGCGAGACGCGTTCCTCGGAAACGACGACCGGAAACACAAATACAAACACATCCAAATACAATCCAAGCCCCGAACAATCTCTTCAACGTCGATTGCTACCCAGCGAGGGATCGGTGCCGAGCTGTGGCTCTATCAGATTCGCATCAAGTACCCCACAGCATCGGCGACACGGAACCTCCGGGGTGGCCGGTCAACCGTCCGTTCGTCCATTCGCTCGTTGGTCCGTCTGGGTGCCACTTAAATCTGCAGCCGCTGTTCGGCTCGATCCCTCCCTTACGACTTCGGAACTTTGAACTTTGCTAAAAAAAAAGCCTCTCCTTCGGGCCGGGATGCGGGGCTATTGGTCTAGCGGAGATCCAATGGAGCACTCGAACTTCCAGGGATTCTCGGCCGGGAAGTGACTCCATTCGGTGCTGAGCCGGATGGGGGAGTCTTCTCCATGTCGGAGAACTGAAGTCGTTCTCTAAGAACCGGAGGAACTCTGCGGAATTGACGTCGCGCCGTGGGTGACGTCGCGCCATGGGTGACGCCGGGATGATTCTCGTCGTGTCTATGTCGTGATTGAAAGAGCAGAAATGCCCTCTCGCCGACGACCGACGGTGGCATAACGGATGGCTGGCACGCTTGGTGTTTTCGGATTTGCCGCAGCGTCTTCTGAAGCGCAAACGAAAAGCCTCGAGGCAAACAAAATATGTAATGATCGATAGGTCCTCCACCGATCGTCTCCGTAACCGTGATCGGGGGAACTCGCTCAGAGGCGATGAAGTCCTCCGCTCGCTCGCGGAGAAGAGAGTCGATGATTGCGGGAAGGTTCCGTAGATTTTCACTGGGCCGGGACTCCAACGGGGGTTTTCGAGTCAACGGGAGCCAGAGGCCTGGGAAGAGGTAGACTCTATATTTAGACGTGTTTATCTCGCTCAAGGTGACTGAAGGCAAAACAATAATCCCACAGGCGGAGTGGATAATCCCCTCGACGCCTGTTGAAGCCTTGAGCGTCGACCGGCCGGCCTAACGGGCCGCCAGACACTGTTCCTCGTTTGACTGCCTGGATACATGCGGGTGGCCTCCATTCGATATTTGTTGTTGTGGACATACGTCGTTGGATATACCGCTAAGTATCAATTCGGATGCACTAAATCGCTGACACAACGAGCGTTGGACAGGCGAACGGCAGGTCAAGTCGACAAATGAAGCGACGGACGAGCCGAGCGATGGAGCAACCCTCAATTCGAATCCTCCGACAGCGTGGAGTCTGTATTCTTCTTGAGAAAATTATGACTCTTCGAAACGAACAATGGGGGACACCAAAGCGGCTCGGAGCGGCATCCCCGATCCCATCGTTCCGATCGCGACGTCCAGCACTCCGAGATTACGGATCTCCGCTCGAGGGTGCGGGAACTTCGCTCTCAATCGCCAGTTTCAGGAACAGAAGGAGCCGGGCTGCTTGACTGGTTCTTAAGGAGCTCGGATGGGGAGGCGGGCGCGGGAGGAGCCGTCGACGACGGTTCAGCAGAAACGTTTTCCGTTCCCTGACTGTTTGTTCGGGACCGAACGAGCCGGTTTGAGTCGTTCTTATTTTCCCCTTCCTCCATCGACGATACAAAGAGCTCCACAGTTCTCATTCGACGACGCAAACTCTTCTGTAAAGACGGTGAAGATTTGTGGCTCTACAACGTTTACAACCAAGCGACCTGATCTCGGACGGTGGCGTGGGGAGCGTCGGCCTTGAACGGGATACCCATTCCTACGAGAAGAGAATAACAACGCATCCCAGGAGATCGAGCGAAACAGTCGACTGGCATCTCGAGAGCTTTCGCGTAATCACTCGGCACTTTCGAATTTCCGCGAGCTCTGAATAAACTCTGACAGGTATCGATCATCGGGGAGATTCCTATTGTTACGATTATTGCTGTTTCCAAGTCTCGATGCGCACCGAGCAGCTCCCTCAGACCGAACTCGCTACATTATACTCGACACGTCGTCTCATTTCATCGTGAAATCAATCCCTCCATGCGGCTCGATGTGAATAAATCACGTCCCATCTTGCGTTTGTTATGCGTTAAAACAAACTCTTCGTTCTCTGGCGACAAGCCTTCTCCCGCAACTTCGTTCTCAATCACCGGGGACGGCAGAGCAACAGTTGCACGAGTTTGCAACACGAGAGCGAGTCGAAGTTTCCCTGGTGAGATACGACAAGGGACTTTCGGACGTCAGGCGGCTTCATTCTTGCCGAGCTTTCGAATGAACATTGATCGCTTCGGCGACGAGGAATCGGAAAAGAATGGGACACTCAAGTGGGATTATTCTCTTTGGCGAGGATGTCGGTTAGGAGATGTTCCGCGGAACGGTCGCTGATCCTGAATTACGATCCGCCTAGGTATTTTTAATCTTGCAGAATCTCTTTTCTCTCGCTTCTTCTGCGGTTCTCATCTCAGTCAGAAGGGGCCGCCGCCGGCGAAGCGAGAGCCAGACACAAAAGCTCCGGTCTTCGCACTGCACTCATGCGGCTTACGTTTGGCAATCACTTCTGCATCGGGGAGATTTGCGGATCCTCACGACGAAATTCACTTGAAGACCGCGGAACAAAATGAGCAAGATGGAATCGCGAGGGCTCACATTCCGCGGAACATGTCGAGGTGCAGAACAGGGGGAACGATCTGGATACTTTTGACCCGGGCTCATGCGAGTGAGGACGTTCCCGGGCTCCGCTCGATTTCGGAGAGGCGGGAAAACCGGGACGCTCGCATGAGACGATCGAAAGACTTCGCACTCAGTCAGACGAGGAGTTCTGGTCCGGACAGCTGACAGTCCCGATGGGTGTCATCCTAGACAGACTTGACGTATAATGCGTGCATTTCGTCACTTCACCATCAAGGAAACCTAAGAACACCACCTGGGCATCACCGATAATTTGTGTCCCACGTTGAGCCGCTCCAACGTCTACCGTGTCGTCGAGTGAAAATCGTGAGCCTCTGTGCCCTCACAATCACATCGGCTCTCAGACTCACCGAGTTGTTCGCGGTAGCTTCGCCATGAACCAGGAAAAAACCAACAGATCCCAGGGAGGAACCGACTATCCAGCTTTGCTGACTGCTGCACGACAATCCCATGTCTGTGAACGAGTCGCGCGAAAATCCGGGAAAGAGCGGACAAAGCTGAATGGGACGGACCGGAAAGCATTTTTATCCACTGGAATACAACCGCGCGGACTCGAAGGGAGGGAAAGTACCCACACATGAGTCAATGGACATTTTTATAGCATGGAGGAACGAACCCATAGAGTCGGGACAAAAGGAACTGATTACGCCAATTGCGGGTAGGACCGTCTTCATGGAGCTCGTACATACGAGCTCCGAATCTCTTTGATCTTTCTTCTGTTCGACTTTATTCGCCAGACTGCGAATTCGGCACGAACTGATGCGAACTACGGCCTCGCGGATTCGGGAATGGGGAAATTGGAACGACCGCAAGAAGTCTCACAGAATGACCATACCTAAGCGGACCTTACGGACCGGGGGGCGCTTCATCCTCGGGGAATTTCCGCAACCCGTTGGACGAAATTCAGACAGGGGGATGGCAGGTCGCAGAAGCAATTCTTCCGCATTCAGAAATCCGTTGAAACATACGTTTCAACGGAAATTCCCCGGGTCGAAAACTTCCCAAGCGGAATAAATAGGGGGCTCCATGCCGGGCTTCCTCAATTGACTCCTCCTGAGGGTGCATTCTTCCACAGGACAAGGCCTAGTACAGAACCCCGCTCTCAATTACAAGCGCGGTCTGAGAGACTCGGAGGTGCTCGGCAAGGATTTTTCTCTCAACTCGATTACTTACTCTGAGTGTGTCAATAGAATGTGGGCGGATCGTAATCTGTCGCAGTCGGTAGCCAATCCGTCAAGCAGCTGATTTATTGGGTGACTCCCATCCACGAGAAGAGGTCTCATGCTCAAGACCGCGCTGCTCGAGGCGCGGGCTTCGTCGAGCCTGCGAGCGCAAAGGGAGGAAAAAGTAAAAGACGAGGAGGACGAACAGAAGCACGCGGGGGACGTGATCTGAGCGACACCATGTGGGTGTAGCTGAGCTGATCTGACATCCCGAGCGAGGACGCGATCACATTTCGGTGTGACTTCGAGTCTTGTCCGGGCGTAAATTGGACAGAAGCTCAGTGTCGTAAAAATAACTCACGTTTCAAAAGACCCTGCCCGTGTTCCAGGGGAATAATTATTGTTACAGCTCGGTTGGATTCTCCTTTCTCTTGATTCGGTCCAGCCCCGAGACACGACGGGAGCCTTAGCCTCGAGCTCAGAACGCGTCCTCCTCTCCCTTCGGAATATTCGTATTGTCGCGTATGCAGACGAGCGAAGCGTGCGTGAGGGATGAAAAAGCGATGACGTCGATTGTTTGAAATTCAACGTCAATCGAGTCGGTCGGTCGGGTACCGCCTGATCAGCGGTACGTGGTAAAGGGGCCCTGCCCTGCCTGATTGCTACGTAATGGAACTAGCCGCCCACCCATGCCAGCTGCCAGAAAGCCAAATTGAATTGTGTGTTTTCTATTTTTGTGCGGAAACTCTCCTACCCGACCGAAACCGCAGCTCCGGTAATCAAACGATCCCTGGCGTACCATTCATAATAGTGTACGGCGAACGGCTTTCGCCAGTATCCGGGGAGGATCATCTCGCGCCATTCCCTATTTACAAAAAGTCCGGCTAGCGGTCTATGGACGTCATTCGGATAATACAGAAAAGAGCAAATAGTAGTCTGGGGCAATTAGCTGCGAACGGACTCGATCGCGGCAGGAGGAATGAAGCTGTATCGAAATCCCGCTTGTAGCTCAGACTAGGAACTAAGCGGGACGAGAGATTGCTTGAATCTCTCGAGGGTTCAAAGAGCGACTCAAAGGAGAATTGTAGCCTAGGAATGAAGCGATCGCGAGTGATAGTCATCTGTCGGATGTCAGAGATCGAGGCTTCTGATTTGGCTCTGCAAGAAAAATATGCAGCCAAAGCGCCCTTATCTCACATCTGCTATCAGCATCCGCCTGGAGCCCCCTAGAGGGGGGACAAGGAGCGACAACAAGGAGCGACTCCCGAGTCTGTCTTTGCTCGGAGAGAGATCTATACTACCTGCTTGCGATTAAGAGATAGAGCGCGTAGGAGCGAACTTTTTCTACTTGTCGTTCCCCCCGAAGTCCCAATCCGGGCATTCCCCGCTCATTACACCATTCCACGGCTCTCCCGGCAGAAAACAGTTGTCCGCTCGTACCGGCTCCATTCTCTGTTTGTCGACGCAGTCGTAAAATTGTCGCTTGTGAGTCTCGTAAAAGCTCGAATGGTGTTAGAAGGCAACTTAATTCCGTCACGGTCTGCTTATTCAGAGCCTGCATCTCGGTAAGCTGAAACGATTAACTTTGGCTCTCTTCGTGTTCTAGGCTCTCACGGCGGCTTGGGTCCACCCGGCGAACCGGGACCTCCGGGTTCCCCAGGGGAGCCCGGGAGAGACGGCGAGGACGGTCTCTCTGGCAAAGATGGAATTCCCGGATCTGTCGGCATGATGGGTCCGCCAGGACCGAAAGGTTCGTTGCGAGTTTCTCTCTATTATCTTTTCTCTGCTGAAGTGCCCTGATTCCGCATGCGACTTGTACAGGTCCGTGGCGGACCAAATCAGATGCTGGACATTCGGTTGCGGAATATCCCGATCGAGCGGACGGGAATCTCGCTTCAATTTGTCGAGCGAGATGGCTGTTCCCACTAGAAGGAAGACATCGACAGGAAGGCTTCCGGAAGAAGTTGACCACGTTGACTGACTTCTAAGTACAAATGGATATGGACGATGAACTTTGACTCCAGCACATCTTAGTGATTGGCGGCCATTCCCGCACGTCCTCTCGTTAATCCCTGGCAAGCAAGAGCTCTGTGCTCTCCTGTAATCATTCATTGTGATGGAGAATTGCTGAGCTGTCCGTTCGGCGAGCACGGAGTCTCTGAAGACCCGACGAGAAAGATTCCACGAGAGCCCGGCGAGGATATGAATGTTCGTCTATCGCGGTCGACAATGGAAGCCTAGGCAGCCATATGAAGGCCGGCAAGAGGAAAAAAAAGAACCGACCTATCGAGGCTCCGACCTCCTCGTTGTATTGGGCCCCAGTCGAACAAGGAGTCCGTTGATCGTACTCACTGTGAAGCCTTCGTTCGAGGCACCGGAATTTCCAGAGCAGAAGACGCAGAATGTGCTATCCTCAGATCATGCGTTGGGCTACTCGCTGTAAAAGTCGGCGGCGAGGCGGGCCCTAGCTTTTGTTATTGGCAGCGGTATTTATAGCGCCTTTCGCTGAGGATGAAGACGAGCTTTCAATAAAGGCTGAGCGAGGGAAAATAATTGCTTGCAGGGGATCCAGGCCGTGTGGTGCAGCTTGATTCCGCCGATGGAAAGGTGCAAATCGTCGAAGGTCCCCCAGGTCCTCAGGGAGAGAAGGGGGAAATGGGATCGAAAGGAGATCGAGGCGATCGTGGCGAAGAAGGAGCGCGCGGAAAGCGGGGAAGAATAGGACCGATAGGAAAACCCGGACTCCAGGGCGTAAAGGGCGAAATGGGTCCCAAAGGTAAATACAATCTTTGCTCTGATTCTTGGAAGATTTCATCGAAAGTGAAAAGGTCGGCGGCGACTGGACATCTCCACTCGAATTCCAGGGGAGCAGGGCGAGGTCGGCAAAAAAGGCGAACGAGGCGAGCGAGGTATCCAGGGAGACGTCGGTCTCCCGGGTGCACCTGGCCGCAACGGAGAGAAAGGCGACCTCGGCTTACAGGGACCCCCAGGCCTCCCAGGAGCACCCGGCAGAGAGGGGGACAAAGGAACCCGAGGAGACAAGGGTGATATGGGCATGATGGGTCCCCCCGGTCTGCCGGGATCTCAGGGCAAAAAAGGAGAGCGGGGCGACAGAGGTTCGGATTCATCCCCACAGTTTGCAGCGCACCAAGGTATGATCAACACGGATACCTTCGATCGCGAGTACAACATGATGAACAGCTATATCCCCGGTCCACCTGGACCCGCGGGTCCTCAGGGCCCCCCGGGAATCAAGGGTGACAAGGGCGACATCGGAGAGAAAGGAGAATTTGGAGAAAAAGGCAAGTGGGAGGTCCCAATGTCATTCTCGATTTCATTCAATGGTTTCACCGGTCGTCTCGATTAATACGTTCATCATGTATGAGTGTATATCGGTGCATCGTCAAAAGCCTCGTTAACTGTCTTTTATTCCACTTTTGATGAAACATACATTCTGGTCAGATAGAAAGCTTACCGGGAGACTTCTTGGATGGTCACGAATTCCTCGTTTGCCCTCAGCTTCGAAATTTAGAGGAGCAGTTTTGCTGACCCCACTCCTGCGTATTACAGGTGATTCAGGGCAGGATGGCCCCATGGGTCTTCCCGGTGTTCCCGGTCAGAAAGGAGAAGCCGGTACACGGGGACGGCCAGGTCGTAAGGGAGACCGCGGAGAGTCCTTCGCCTATTAAGGGATCTCGTGGAAATATTTCCCTCTTCTCATTGTGTACATAGCGAATAAATTAAAACGAGAGGCAGCGAATATCGACAGTCTCGCGGAGCAGCCGTACTCATAGAGTCCACTGTGTATATTTCATGTTTCCACATTTCCATATGGCCTGCATTTCCTCCAGAGCTGGTACCGGTTCTGTACACGGGCTCGACTTCGGTGAAGAAAAAGCTCGTCGCATTCATTCGTCGGAGATTTGAAAGCTTCGCGATCGCTCTCCGTTGTGGGTTTTCCGGAGAGAATACTCAATCCTTCACCCGCAGGCTTTCTGCGAGGGAATTCTGTATCGAACGCGAGCCCGTACAAACTATTTATTTACGAACACAAGTTGCATATCTCACCCGGAATAAAGCCATAGCCCGAAATTTCTCGACTTGGCGGAGGTTCGAGACTGTTCTATTGAGAGAAGACGAGGAGAATTTCCGACTAGTGATTTTGATTACACGTGTTAGCTTACTGGTTCTCCGGGTCGTGGAGAAGTTTGATTGCTGAGAAGGGAAAAACGAGATGAACATGACGAATAAAAAACAGTTGGTTAAAAAACTATCGCTGCCCTCTTCGCTCACATCCCACGGGATTCGCCATGTTCACATCATTGGCTCGGATACCGAAGGACTCGGCAGAACATCGCCCCGGTGGGGTGAGGTCCTGAGGGTGTGTCATTTGTGTGTTTTGTCTCTGTTCTTTGCTGCCTATGCGACGCTGCTGATATAGGCGGAGGTCGCTCCCTCTAAAGTTATCTCGACGAGCCGAGTTTTCTGCACTCAGCATCAGCTTTTCTCCAGCACTCCGCTATCTAATCCAACCACTTTCCGTAGAAACACGTCAAGGGAGGCAGAATCCGAAATCAAGGGTTGCTGAGCTTAAGACTTTTTCGGGAAGATGTCATCACTCACTGCTCCTTCTATCACATGCCAAAACCTCTCGGAAAAAAATCCGCTCCCTGTCTCCCGTGCAACTTGGACAGGAGTCCCGTGGGCGAGAATTTTCCGGCTGGAAGAAGGGTATTGTTCCCGATAATCAATCTCTTCCAAAAGTATGGATTCTTGTCCCCCTCCCATATTCTGAAAATGAGGCGGATGTGAGCGCCTCTAAGATCGAATGTAAGTGACGTGAGAGCTGAGCGCTCTGGTAAACACATAGCGTATGTGGGTCTCGAGAGCTCCAGCGGAGAAAGGCAAATGAGGTCCTCGAAGATATCTCAATGGCGGTGCCAGTCAGTGTCGGCTCTCGTCGCTGGGAGGACGGTCTTCGACCGGGTCTCATGTGACACGTGTCGTCGTGAGCGGGAATTTCATCGACCCTGTCAAGAAAAATCGACACTTCACCTGTCAACGACGAGCGGACGGGAAATCGAGACCTATTCGGAAGGAGCTTGTCTGAAATTGGAGGACTTCCCACCGGATCTCTCGGAGACGTCCTCTTATTTTCCCCTAGAAATTCTCTGGAGTCCCGCTTGCGCCACTCGTCGAGTGATCTCGCCCGAGATTCTAGAAGAATCATGGGAGGGAACGGTGACTTGTGCTAGATACATCTCCCGTGGACGAGTATCCCCCGTCCCGAATTTGAGAGCACGAGGCCGGACCAACCGCATTGATCGGGAACTCCGTGACTGCAGAGCACACCTGCATGTAGAATGAACAGCGTACGGCCAATGCGCTGGGACCAGCGGGTCCTAATGAAGCAAGAAGCGCGGACATCCAAACAGATCGCTACAAAGAGTGCCCCACTTCAAGGATGCCCAAGCAGTGTCATCATTGGGGGAAATTCCCCAGCCGGAGTTCACAGGGACGCTGAGGAGGTGCCTTTTCGAAAAGTTCAAGTTGCCAACCTTCAGTCCGCGAAACCGTCCTGACTCGAGGAAGCATAGGACATGCCGAGGGAACCTGATCAATCGATCGTTTCCTCCTCCTCTGCCCGTTTCCTCCGTTGTGTCGCGAATTCATCGATTGGCAGGCACCTTCCTCGTTGCCTTTCAGGATTTTTTCATCGGAGACAAGAATCGAGATCTCTCCGGGAATCCGCGCTGCTTGCATTGATCAGGCTCCGTCGACGGAGATGACATAAACTCATGGAATGGTCGCATGCATTGTATCCACGGAGGCCCTCACATGCAGATCTGATCGATTCTTACCACATGGAAAGAGTCTGCGGAGGCCTGACGACTTGATATACAAATGAGCAGTCCCCGCGAGAATTTCGGAAACTGCCAGACGACAGTGTGTTGTTTAGTTTATCAGAAGACAAACGTGCCCATGAAGCGGAGTGGGTTTACCATCAATGCTCATATACAGAGATGCACCGACACTCCTAGGAAGGACGGAGCCGGAAGCCGAATCGATGCACAGCTACAGTACGGAGATGGATACTCCGAGATGTTTCACAGACCACAAATGCAGCAAACTCTTGGCGGTGGCTCAGAGCCGCTGCAAGCTTAATGAAGGATTTCTCTGCAGCGAGTCAATTACGATTTATATAAAAAAGACTAAAATTTTTATGCAACACGTTTTCCTTGAGTGAACCCGCGTTGATTCTGCATTCCACCCATACAGTCAGCGCAAATTTGTGCGAGCAAAATCTATATCAGCTCTTGGAGCAGGTTCCAATAATGCTCCTACTCGAATCCTGCTCTTCTACCCTCAGAGAGCGGAGGATCTTTCGATGTTCTCTTCATTCACCACCCTGACTGAATCCGCTGTGCCTCAAGTCTCAAGGGAGATATTTTCTGATCTCTGTCCAGGAATTAGACTGGGCGAGTTTCCTCACCTGAATATTATCCAAACCTGAAATCATGCGGAATCGAAGAAGCTTTTCCTTCGGGACTCTCTTCCTGGAGAAGATGATGGAGAATGATTCGCCCTGATGCTGAAGATCATCTGCGCGACACATTAGGGAGCTCATCTGCGGTGCAGTTCGATGATTCATGAGGAGAAGTCGAGACTAATCATTCCGAAACGCGACCCGCCATGCGGAGTTCGAGGGGGTCACGATCCCGCCTACAGATTCCCCGCATTCCGTGTGAGGTCCTACGCTCCGTGAATAATGCGCAATCCACGATAGAATCGTAGGTTCTGGAATGTGGTTCCCGCAGAGAAGAATCGCTCCGAGGGACTTCATTTTCCGAGAGACGAACGAGCGTTCGGGCTCTGTGGACCGCAGTTCCTGTAGATTTGAGCGGAAGTGCGCGTTACGAACGCCGGGGAATGAGTCTGAGATCGTGTTGGTTTTGCGCGACGATCCGCCAACAGGAAATGACACAGCTTTCGTCACAGATCGAAACCAGCTCTCGAAGCGGCGGCGTCGGCGTCGGGTACAGTTGAGCTGCCGCCGACATATATCCTGAGCTTTGTAAACTCGATTGTTGTTTCGCAAAGCAGATTCGAGTCCTTCCAGTCCGACGAGGACGGGAGGGGGACTTCTCTTCGCAGTCCCCTCCCTGAATTTCCACCGTACGAGTTCGATGCCAATTGCCAGCGGAGGCTCCGTTCCTTGTCCCGCTCGAGTGGGCTTACATCGACTGGCCCCTAAAATGGCTCAAGCAAGAACAAAAGCCCAAGAGAATCTTTATTAAAACGCTCCAATATCGGCAGTTCCCTCCAGGGTGAGGAGGGCCGTGACAACAGGGAACCTGCAAGATATTGTACACGGAAGCGTAAATCGGTCTCGAGGACAGAATTGTGGGGCTTTCGAGTGTTTTCAGTGAGCTCTCGAACGAAGCCACTCAATCCGCGGAGCATCGTAGCGGATGACGTAGCCTGGAAATTTCCGGATTGGTTTAGAGCCTGTGCGACGCAATCTCCGGAACGAGTCGGAAACTCGAAGCTCCCCGAAAAAAATTCGCCGGAGGCTTCATTTCCTTGAAACAAGATCTCGCACAATACGAGCTCCCCCGGGGATTAGATGTTCCGTTGATAGAAATTTCAGCAGATCCTGATTGACTTTCTTTGCGGATCGCGCGAGGAGCTGTAATCGCAGGTACGCTCTCGGAGCAGCTCGGTCGCGCGCGGAGAACTGTAATCGACCGCCGGCGTTGAGGGACCATCCGCGCGGAGTCGACTCCGCGTGGAGAGCCCGACAAGCATTTCCGAAGGAGTGGTGCCATTGTCGAAAGGCGTCCCCCTCTTGCATGCCCCACTTCCTGATGAGTTTCCTGTTCGTCGCCGAGGCACGCAACGCAACGACATAACGAAGCGAGACCATAGCCGGGCAGCCGTCGAAAGCCGAGCTCTATACTGCAACATAGCGGCATCTACCTCATCAGAGTGATTCAAGGACATCCGAGCGAGCAATTTTCGGACGGGGAAAAGTTCCGTTCCAGATGAGCCTAGAGGGGAATCTGGAAATTGTACACCAGCGGCCACCCTCTGTTTTCCTGCGCATATCTGATCCTCGACGACTCTCCTTGCGCCTCCTCGACCATTCTTCCTCCGGTTGCGAGGCGCTTGCCACTTCGCTGCCAAATTGCGTGAATTTGCTGCTCAGGCACGTCGCGGTATATATCGAATATTCAGAGACATGCCTCCCGCATGATGCTATGCAATGATGAAATAGTGGCTCGGAAGGTCTTATAATACATTCTCATCGATTCTCGGATAGAGCTTATGTGGGTGAATCGAGATGTCGAGCTTCCTCAGCGTCGAACGGAGTTCAACAGCGTCTTACCAAAGTTCCGGTACACGATCCCCCGCGGAGGCGCACCTCTCGGACATCTCTCGAGTTTCGTACCCGAGACTGCCACGCCGTCAGTGCTCCCTCGCGCCAAAAGCTGCTGCAGATTCGCACCTTTGGAAACCCGGAGCCTCACAGATCCATTCCTGCGGTCCATGGTGAGCAGGACGGAGTTCCCTCAACAGCTGATGACGTTGTTCCGGCTCCGAGATCTCCAGGGTGAGAAAATGACGCACGTGAGGGAGGACGGAAAAGCACCGAATGCAGGCGCTCGGGTTTCGGCGGGTATCAATCGATTGTTGTCAATGCGCCCCGACCCGTGAGTTTCTTCGAAAGGTTAACGAAGTCGAGAAATTCCTCCAAAACAGAAAAAATCGAGGCACACCACGCTCGGTTCCACTCCGAACACGGAATTAATTGTTCGGAACGGAACTATTATTTTCGAAACGTTTTGTTAGTTTAATTTGCACGTCGTTGGTCCGATCACAGCGAATCAGGGCTTTTTCGACTCGGACGTGACGGTCGGAATGTGAATGATTCTGACCCCATGTTCTGTCGGACGCCCTGGATATCCCGGATCGTCTTCCCCGCGTTATGTTTCTAGTCGGGCACGGTACTGGCAGACTCGTCTGAACCATTTTTGCTCCTGATTTATTCATCGCTGTTCCGCTCGGAGTCGCCGCCCCAAAGCCATGGGATGGGGAAAATGGATTATCGCTCATCGCTTGTCATCAGGACGGGTTCGTCACCACGTCAAGGAATT